GAAGACAGAAAGTAGAGTCTAAACGAAAAAGCAATGAGAAGGAAGATAAGCACCGAGCTTTCACCAACGTTTCACTCAATGCTGTTTTTAAACGCCTTTCTCAAAACGATTCAGAAGGGAAACTCGTAAAGCGGCAGGCCGATTCAATAAATAGTAGGAAATGTATAGTTCTCTTTAATAAAATTGTTTTCAAATACATGTACAGATTTGGTAAGGAAAAGTTAAACGTAGTTTCTTTAATAAAGTTTTTGAAATTCCTTTACTCTACTGGCTGCTTACTTTCACCGACAGTTTTAGAATCATTTGAAAAAGAAAAAAATGGAGTCTTTCTCACAGAGCAGATTTTATAACCAATTTTTAAAGACACGTGCTTGATAGTATGCCGAACTTCAGCACTTTCAAGCACTGCTTTTAGTGTTCTCTATCTAAATGAATTATCACCTTAAAAAACTAACTTGGAAATTTGCAAATCGCCAACGCATAAATGCTACTATTCACGACAAATAGACGGGACTTGTTGAAAACCACGATATGATGCTCCTCAGAAAATTCTGAAGGGTCAAATGTTGGCATTGGAATAGATGTCGCAATTTCTGATGTTTCGTCATTCCAAACCCATTTTGTTGTGCTGTCCGTTTTTGCCGAAATTCCAGTTAAAAAATCACTGTTTACTGTTCCTTCAAACAGTAATTATAAAAAGCAGATAAATAAGAATTAATCAGTTGAGAAAGTCTAAATAAAAAAAAAAACTTTTTCTCGAAAACAACAGTATTGATATTAAGAAATGAAACAATTAAAAACCTCTTGGCTTTTAAACTTTTCATGCTTCTAGGTGCACTCACAGCAAAGAATAATACACAAATCAAAAAAAAAAAATGTTTGATACGCTTTACTTCCTTTTTTTCTTGCAAAAACTGTGCAGCAAAAACGTTTTAAGCCGAGACGATTATCAGATTGTATAAAATTATGATGTGTTGGTCCTGAATGACTACGGTTGAAAAATAAAATTCAAATAATTCAGTTATTTTGAGCATTTTAGTCGTAAGATATTTAATTGTTGAACTCATCTGTTGATGTTCAGTTAGACTGCGAAATGACTCGCATGCTGATTATAACAAAAAAGACGATCAAAAGATTTTTTTTAACAACTTGAAAAAGGCAACCCTTCTTTTGATATTTTTATAGGACATGACAGATAATAACTATGATGACCAATTGCTTTAAAAAAAGATTGATTGCCGTTCCATCAGTATAGTATGTTAAACTGCAAATTGTATCCTAACGTCTCAAAAAATTGGTCTAACGGTATAATAGAATGAAGTATTTTTAAAACTGCTACTTAGACGTTGGATGCAGAACATGTTAAAACTTTCAGAAACTTTTATACACAGATGAAAATTTATGTTATGAGACCTCTAAATATTTAAACAACAACCCGGGTTATGACACTTATTGTGACATAAAATTGTATTGCTTTATAATTTCATCCTCTTCTTTCTAATCCTCAAAAAACGTTTTAACCGCGGAGTAGTTTGTCGCTTTTCTCTGTCTTACAGACGTTAGTCTACTGATTTTTGCTCTTTAAACGTTAGAATAGTTTGAAATAGTGTTTTTCAAGTTCTTCTGAAATACTGTTTTCTTTTGAAAAAGTTACTGTGGCAGATCAGTTCCCCGTGTAGACCACGGCTGCTAATATACTTGAAAGGTGATAATTAGCAAAAGACAAATTTGAAAAGCTGAACGGAGGCAAAAAAACTTGGTATCTAAGCTCTCTAAACTATTTCACGATATTTGAGACGTTGTTATGCAGTGATAACGATTCCTTGCACTCTGAAATCCGTGGTCGCTATTCTTTTAAGCCTTTGTATCTGATTACAAAAAAATTAAAATTTTATATAAACCACTGATTATTTACGAAAAGTTGTTAAAATTTTTAGTAAAATATGCATTTAAGCTTATATTATCGGAACAAATTCATACTGGTAATGAAGTTGTATTCTCTTTCTGTCTGGAAAGTAACCAGTTTGGAATGTTCATCTGCGCACAGCTTTGCTCCAATTTTCGTCGTTGTTTCATTAGGTAACTGCAGATAGCATTTTTAGTGCTCTTATAAGCGGAAGTTCTTGCAGTGACAAAAACCACAGCATATGAAATGCTGCTTCATGCAGTTAGTTCGCCAGAACATTCATTTCTAATAGTTGCTTATTCAATTGTTTTTATCATGTCACTTATTTTTAAATTAGAGACAATCACAGCTAGTCTCAAAAAAAATTTACGAGAAAATGTTTTCAAACCAAATTATTCTTTTATCCAAACATTTCTTAAGCTAATTTTTTTTTAACACCCATGTAGAATAAGGCTATTTACTTCAAAAACATAATGTTAAATTCTTAGTTCAGACGGCAGTAGCGTAGCTTTACGCGATCACAGCATATTTAAAAAAAACTTTTGTCATCTTTTTAACAACGCCATATTCTATAGCGATGCTCAACAGAATTTGATAAAATTACTGCATGAACCTGAAGTCACGTAGCGCAAATAAAGAATCTAGGAGAAATATGCTTGGTCACAATAAATTGAGAGAGGGTAATCCACTACCAATTTCTAGAGAACTTTGTTGTTATTTATTTCCCTGTTGGCAGCACCTGTTCTTTATTTTTGAAGCTCAAGAACTACAATTTCTTTCAAGCTCCCAATGCTCTGCCACAGCTGCAAGTAAAGCAGTCAAGTTTTATTTGATCAGGCTTGTCGTGTTTCGTAAAGATTATCAAAGAATGATGCTGCTTAAACTAGGATAATGCTGCTAAAACCGGAAGTTTTCTAGTAGTGTTCAACTTTGCAACTCAAAATCATTTTGCAAAAAAATGCAGTAATTTTAAAAACTAAAAAAACTATTGGTGAAAAGACTTTTTTTTTTTTTTTTTTGCTTTATACCGGTAAAAATAATGTTGAAAATTACAGAGAGTTTCTTAGATTGATCTTTTATGATAAATGAAATGTCTCGTAAAAGTGTCAGTGTGAAAAAAAAAAAAGGTTTGTAAAAAATTTGCATCTTCGTACACAGCAGCTCGACGATTATAAGGATTCTGGTGTTAGTAGAATAAAATATGATTATCTGTCTTGATCAAGCAGTTTGAAACTGAACCTTTTTGTAACAGCTGCCCGAATAGTAGAACCAATTGCTGCGGCAGAAATGCTCTAAATAAGATAAAGGTTGTTGTGTTAGGTTAGCAGTGGTTAATCAAATGTTAAACTAATGTATAATTGTTCTGCAGAATGATAAGGGTAAAAATCTTTTGCTATTTTTTTGTTTTTTTATTTATATAGATTACCCGTTACTGTTGCCGCAGCTAATAAAAGTATGATGTGCAGTCGTAACAACCGCATGGCCATAGATTTGACTGACCACGAAAAATCTGTAAGCTTCTGATGAATACTTCAAAAACTGCAGTAATTTCAGGTACTTACAGCAGCTAAGAATTCAATGATATTTGATAGCTAACAAAGCCAACACTTAAAACTATTACCAACAATTTTAAGTGTTGGCTTTATTACACCGTTTGTTAAAAATATTTTCTGAAGTGTAATTTCAGTGAGACAAAATGGTTAGTATAAATTATTATAAAGTTAACTTCTTTTTTTGTTTTTTTTTTCTTTGTTTAACAACAAAAAAAACAGTTTTTTGTAATATGTATACAATTATGGGGCAGTAATCTGTTGATCAGCTGAGAAACTACAGTCAGTGTCTTCAAAAATCTGTTCAGATGCGGCTGCTGAAATTATTTATAACACTAATGTTCATTCATGTAAGTTTTGCTTCGCAACCGCTTTCTTAACTTTTATGTTTAAAAAAAAGTAAAAAAACTGTAACGCAAAGAAAAAACCTATTTAAACAAAAAATAAAACAATTAAAACTGTTGTCTGTTCTCTTTTATTTCAGTAAGTTAATTCTTCGCTCGTATTTTTACATTATAATAAAGTCATATTTTTAATGTAATAATCAAAAAATATATTTTTGTTAAAATACATTTTTTTTCTGCAATATGTAATTTATTAAAAAAAAATATTACTAACAAATTGTAAACCAAAAATTTTTTGAGATTTATTTTACAAAAGCTGACAGAATGTTTATATCAGTTTTAAAAGTTTGTATTTCTATAGTGTCGTCGTTACAAATGAACTATAACAGTACTGTTCTATTTTGTTAAATTGGCTAATCAAAATAACTATGCTTCTGTAAATTACTTTCTTATAAAAATCAATTCTAAATGGTAATCATTATTACTTCGATAGCGACAATAAACTTTCATCTGAATTATGTTCAACAGTTTCACTGAAACTAAGAAGTATATTGCAGAAAACAGTTACTATGTGATGGTATAGTTTTCAGAAAAAAATACAACAAATGCTTCAGAAGTCTCGCCAAAACCATACGGTAAACACTGAGTTGACGTCTTTAATTGTCCATTATTTATTCATTGCCTTTTTTACTGCCCAGAATTTTCGCTGTTGCTAAAAGCTTCTTTATTTTAAGAGATAATTGGCAACTGTAATGATGGCATATTGGTGAGAAGTGCAAGCAAACAACAAAATTTTTGCTACTTTTTTATTAATGTACGTCGTGTAATCAGTCATATTAATATTCCTTATATTGTTCAACCTAATTTTTACAGTCAATAGCAGTTGTAATAATTAGAAGCCGCAATTGTTTGCTATTTCAACTTTATAAACTGATGAACAAAATTATATGACTTACAATAAAAAATATAACTCAGGCTAATTAAAAAGAAAGAAAAATTAAAAAAAAAAAAAACAAGAATAGTTAGAGTTCAAGTCTGTTGTCATTACAGTTACAACTTCGTATTGGTGATTCTCTCCGTGAAATAGCAACAAATCTACAATCTACTACTACTAATTTTCCGGTAATATTTTTAATGCATATAATACTGACAACCATTTAGAACAGATTTTAGCATTATAAAACAAAAGTAAATTACTGTTTTCTTCCCGTCCCCTTCATTGAAAATATCATTATTGAGAGAGTTTTGCTTGTAAATACCCCTAAAAAATGGTAAAGATTTCCTTGTTGTAATATCATTTGATATTTAAAAAAAGAAAAAATTTCTATTTAAATCAAAATAAAAAAAAGATTGATGTAGTTCAGCAACTAAATTCACTAACTGCTGGATTTTCGCATACTCATTATGTGAAATTGAAAAACAAAGTACAAATTGGAAGTGTAATCAGCGTTTACGGCGATACTCTATCCGAACAAGTGAAAGTTTATTTACACGACGAAAAGAACAAACATGTTCCATTAATTCTTCACCTTTCCTGGAACAAGTAACAGTTTTACAACAATATGAAAATTTATAACACACTTTTATTACTTTTAAAATTGAACAATCAGTCACGGTTCTCAAGAGCAGTGAATAGGTTTCATCGTTTTTATAGTATTTATTGAACTATGATTATAGACAGCAGAAGATAATCAAACGAATAATGTGCACCAGTGTGATAGATTTGCAATTCTGCTGATTTACTGAATCACAAATATTGTTCTGATCACCGAA